TGCCTGTCTGTCTGTCTAATCTGTTGTTCTATCATTCTATCTATCTTTCGTTTCATCTATCGTTCTGTCTATCATTCCATTGTTATTTCTGTCCATAAGGCCTAACTTTCAAACTTAAAGACTTTTTGAAAAAATTTCAGAACTTTCAAAAAATTTATCTTGACAAACTTTGCTTTTCTTGATTTTTCTGGTTATGTTATTTTGTTCTATTCAATTCATTTTACATTGTTACATTCAAATTCAAGTTGCAATTCTGCATCATGCTTATTGCAGAAACTGAATTGGAATTTAGTAATAGGGAATAAAATAATAGGGAATTAATTCAATTCTGAACCAAACTTGCAAGATACTAAAAGTCTATAGAAGAAAAGCAAGAGTTCTCAATATGAACTCAAATGATCTGAGCTGCTATGTCAACACTTCTTTCATTTGTTTCTATTTTTAGACCTCCTAACAGATTTTAAGAGAAACATCTGAGACCTAATCGATGATCAAACCCAACATAACTCCTGAAATATGAAAGAGCAACCTATAAGCATTTCAGTTTTCCTCTAGGTTTGGTTTCTGAGCGATGTAGCTTGTAAAATGTTAGACTTTCTGTAGACCTTGTACGAGTTTCCATGATTTCTTCCTATAGAGTGTTTTGAACAGATGTTGTTGTTTCTCAGGTATAGCTGTGGTTCCACAGCAGTTCCTCTGAAAGTATTAATGAGGCTAGTCAGCATGAAGGGTTTATGATTCAAATCACAAGTAGGCCTGTCGCAATAATCAATATATCGACTTATCGCGCAATATATATACATGACCTCAATAATTTTTGGTGACCCAATATATATAGCCCATTATATTTACTTAAAATTAATGTCACCATGTTTTGTACATTCCACTTGCGCCTGTGTCTTTTGCAGCTTCTCGTACATAACGTGGGGTAGTCATGAGGTGCTAGTTCAAATAAAAAAAAAGCTTCTATAAACAAAGTTTCATCTGCAGATATGGTCTTGTTTAGGGATCTGTGCCTTTGTGCATACTGACTGCCAGGTAGTGATTGTGTTTTTCAGCAATAGTGTGCACCCTTCATTTACAGAGAAAAGAAGGTCAGGGAAAAATCTGTAGATGGAAAAATCTCCATACAAGTTCTTTGTGCATTTTTCTTATTTATTTAATATTGTCCAGTTATTTGGAAAAATAAGGCACATGTAATGTAAAAGTACATGTGATGAAGATGTTCTCTTTCAAGCATACGTTTTGGTGTCTCACTATGGGATATGCCCCTTCCGCGTATTCCTCAGAAGCAGTTGGCCCCAGTTGACTGGCAGACATGACATTGTGTCTGGGAGTGGCTCCTTCCTCTTGGTATAAAAGGAGCGACAAAACGTCATTACAACATTCAAAAACCTCTTCTCACTTCACACCAGAAGCCTATTAGTCGAATTGTTGGCAACCACACAGCTTTCGCCTGACTCCTACAATCAGCACTCCAGCTTATTATAGGATTACTCAGAATGGCTGTAGCAATGCAGACTACCTTGGCTAGTGAGGGAGACTCTTCACGGCGCTGCTCGTGCGGGAATACAAAATGTGCAGTGCTGGGGGGCGCCCAGGACCAGGGTTGAGAAACACTGATCTAAATATTCTTAAAAATTAAAAGTTTGTTGTAATTTGGAAGTGCATAGGCCTTCTTGCATTATTATGCTATTACATTATGATTATATATTCAGTGGCATAAAATGGTCTTTAAAATGACAATAATATCGCTTATCGCAATTATTTCTGGGGCAATATATCGCACAACAAAAAGTTGTTATCGTGACAGGCCTAATCACAAGCAATAGCTGTCTGCTGCGCTTGTTTGTGCATTTTTGCTTGTCTTTCGCACATTTTTTCCCTCTTACAAAGGCTTTATCTCACCAGACACTTTAACTGTCATTTTTGTCTCTTTTTGATTCAATTTCATTGTTTTGCAACTTGTCAGTGTCAGAGTACTGTGTTGTGTGTTCATTGTCAAGTTAAATCCCCTGCTAGGTGTCACTAGGTGGTTTCGCAATAGCTGATGTGGTTCTGTGGACTAAAGAGAGCACAGTCTGGATTTTAGGAACTGTTCTGGGGAGCTTTTTCTGTTTTCGAAAAGGTTGCATCCACATTTCATGTAGTTTTATGAGTCATATTAAAGAGCATTACAGATGTGAACATTTTTCATTTTATGGATCTCTGTCTGCAGCAACCAGCGTTGTTTTTACAGTAAAGGTTTATTTAGCTTGGAAGAGCTATTAAATAGCACTAACAAAACTGTACAAATTAGGGCTGGGCAATAAAATTATTTATGATTGAAGTGGGGTATGAGTGGTTATGAACGAGTGGTTATTGTCCGTGTTTCACTCTGTCTCGAATTGCGCTCGGGGAAAGTACTTGAGAAACAGCGTCTCTTCCG